CCAAAGCCCTAAGCTTTCAACCCTAAACCCCTAAACCCGAAAGCCCTAAGCCCTAAACTTCAAACCCTAAACCCCTGGACCCTTTCCCCCAAGCCCTAAGCTTTAAACACTAAACCCCTAAACCCTAAACCCTGAAACCCCAAACCCTAAAACCTTAAACCCAAAAACCCTAAGCCCGAAACCCTAAAACCCTTGGTTGCCAAGGCACTCTGCAGCCCCGTCGCCGACAGGTCCAGGCTCTTCAGCGCCGTCCAGGACCGAACCTTTCGGACGATCTCCTGGTTTAGGGGTTTAGGATTTGGGGTTTTAGGGTTTAGGGTTTAGGGTTTAGGGTTTGGGGTTTTAGGGTTTGGGGTTTAGGGCTCTTCTCTCAAGAACTCACGGTCTTCCCTAGTTTAGGGGTTTAGGGTTTAAGGTTCTCCTCTCAAGAACTCACTATCTTCCCTATTTTAGGTTTAGGGTTTAGGGCTTAGGGTTTATATAGGATTATTTATACGGTTTAGGGGGGGTGGGGATCTATTCTTTTGGGTTTAAGGATGTGGGGTGTAGGGTTTAGGGTTGAGTTTTAAGGAATTAGGGCTTATAGGGCCCTGAACCCTGTAAACATGAAAGACCATCTTTGGTTTTTCAATACGCTGAACCCGATAACTAATAGACCGATCTTGGGCTCCAGGGGATATTCTCGTCATGGGAATATGGGGGGCCTTAAATAACTACAATAGGGTTTGGGGGGGCGTATTATACTATAAAATGATAATAAGGAGCCCCCCAAACCCTATTCTGATTCTAAGTATTAAGGCCCCCACATGAAGATCCTCGTTATGAAGCCGTCAAGGAGACTGCCAGCGCGCTTTATTTAGTTGATTTTCTTCTTTTCGGGCCCTTTTCCAACTGCTGAACTGCTAGAAGTCCTTACTATCGTGAGCCCACATTATTCAGGGGTTTGGGCTGTAGGTGTTGGGGAACCTGGCTTTCTTGATGGAATGACATGAAGAATGCTGCTGATACTTGTGTTACGCTTCGGGATGAATGTAGACCGGTAAAACGAATGCCTGTAGCAAGGGCCTAAATACATCTCCTTGTGGGGCTCAATGCTATCAGTCTGCCGACTAGCGACATGTATGAATCTATGAAAACTTCAGCCGGACCCCTGAACCCTAAACCCGGAACCCTCAGGGTTCACGAAACAAGCACATGGAAGCACATGGAAGATTGGATGCAGGTTTTGGGGGCAGTCTCATACATAGTTGTATGTATGTACATATCTGTATATCGATCGTGGCCAGATCGCAGACAAGTGCCAAACCCCCTCCCCCCAAAAACAAAAGGCTTCAAGGTTTGAGACCTGGAGATAAAGGATACTAAGCGGGTTACTACGAGGATTACTGCACGGGTGTCTGCAAGAGGTCCCTTTTCGGGGTTCCGCATGGTTTACAGGGTTCCGTTGTGGGTCTTACTATGATATTGCTACACCCAGACCCTCAAAAGGATCTAAAAAAAAAAACCTAATTAGGGACCCTAACTACTAAAGGCTACTTTATAGGAACCCCCTTGGGGTATCTATCTTTTAGATCCTTTTGGGGGTCTGGGCAGAAACAAGCCTCGGGGCCTTGCGTGCGACAAAACCTGCGACTCTCCAACGCAAGAGCAGCTCGGGGGTTCAGGATTGGCGGTTTGGGGTTCTGCAAACCCTAAGCCCTAAACCCTAAAGTAGGGAAGATCGTGAGTTCTTGAGAGGAGAACCCTAAACCCTAAACCCTAGGATTCAGAGTTCAGGACTCCAATCCCTAAATCCTGTAGGGGCCCCGGAATAATTTTTAGTAGGGTTTTGGGGGGGTGATGTTCTGCTGCAAGTGCAACTAATGAGGAACCGCCAGAAATAGTATAGGCAATTACTTAGGCCCCTATATAAGCCCCTAAACCCTAAACCCCTAAATACTAAACCCAAAACCCCCAAACCCCAAACCCCTATATAAACCCCTAACCGCTAAACCCCTAGACCCTAAACCCCTAAACCCTATTCAGCCCTAAACCCGTCGACCCTAAACCCTAAACCCCTAAACCCTAGACCCTAGACCCTAAAGCCTGCGAAGCCCTAAACCCTTCGACCTTACATCTCCCCACGTCCTTCAGCGAGCCATCGAGCTGCACACCACGAAGGTCCAGCAGTTCCAGGGTTCGCCCCCTGGGGCTCCCACTTGAGACCCCCGAAACCCCTCAAAATGGTGTAGGGTTTTTTCTTTTAAAGTGCAATGGTGTAGGGTTTGGGGTTTAGGTTTAGGGTTTAGGGTTTAGGGTTTAGGGTTTAGGGTTTAGGGTTTAGGGTTTGGGCTTTAGGGTTTAGGGTTTGGGGGATTCATCATAGTGTCCGCTTATAGCACTTCTATCATTATAC